GACTATACACCCAAAACAAAACTGATTACACCGTACGTTTTGGAGAATTTTGGCGTGAAAATGAAGCTTCTCTCAATAGTTTTCCCCTTATCATGAATCAGTGGAGGCTTTAAAGGTTGTCAGTATTACTATTACCACAGCTAAACAACAAAATGGAGCAGTTTCCCATTTGTACTTTTCATTTTGATACTTTTTTAATACACAATTTTGACTATGTTAACACTCAGTATTCGCATCACAGATCATAAAGACAGCTTAACACACGCTACAAAAAAGTGATTTGACAAAACATTGTGTTCTTTTAGAAAAAAGAAAAATATTGGATATTTTTAGTCTGAAGTCTTTCTTTGGCCCCTCAACAACATATGAAGAAAAAAAACAGAAATTATTTTGATCAAATTAGCGTGCAATAAGTCAAAAATATATTTTGGTGTAGTCTTCTACTGGCTGTTATCGGGTATCTTTTTTATTTTTATTTTTTATTTTTTTTATTTTTTACGCCTCTAAAAAAAATAAAATAAAAGGTATATCTGAATGTGTACAACAGGGGTTTGAGCAAAGCTTTTACCACTGAATGATGCAAAAAGTCTCTGATCCAAAAGACTTCAGCAACCGGATCAAATATGACACATTTGGCTTTATAGGGCTAAAGAACAATTTAAACGGAGACTAAAATTGCTGCTACTAAGTTGTCTGAATTTTCCATATGGATTTGTGGTCTAAATCATATTTTAAATTGTTATATATATATATATATATATACACACACATATATAGATGTGTGTATATATATACATACATATATATAGATGTTTGAAATTGTTAAATTTGTTTTTATAGAGACTGCCACTTCTTAAGCCCCTTGAGGGTGTTTCGGCAGTTGTCCATCACATTTTTTTTTCTTTAGTAAAACATAATACCGTTTTTATGTTTTTGTTGTGAAAATAAAATAATATATATATATTTTTTTAAGTTCAAGACAACTTTTGGGAGAGGCGTGGAAACAGGAGCCTGAACTAAACTACTGGAATATCTGACATCTGACAGACTCCACCTGGATGGAAATGTGGACGTGAATATGTTTAATTGTCCTTTTCAATGTCACCACAGAGTTTATTCAAAGAAAACTAAGTCTTGACTTTAACTCGGACAGTCTATGGCTCACCACCATTTCCACAACCACTTACAAATTCAAGTCAATATAAAAGATAAAAGCACATTTCAAAAGATTTGGCAAAGTTAAAAAAAATACATTTAAGAGCTTGCAAACTACACAGATTCTGGAAAAAAACTCATCCAAACTTTTCCAGTTTTTGACTAGATACTTGAATGAAGGTTTTCGTTTCAACAAATCTTAAGAATATGGCATTTCCTCCTACTTGAGCCTCAGCAGTGCATTAGGTTGATTCAGTTTTCTAGACTTCTGGATAATTTCTAGACTTCTGGAGTTACTATGTCAGGAACATAGGATTGGCTATGGACCAAATTACTACTAAAATGTGAATATGTTCTATTAAAACTTTAAAACTCTATTAAAGCATTAACACATTATATAATTTTAAAAGGACCCCAGGAAGAGTAGCTGTCAAATTACTGACAGCTAATGGGGATCCAAATAAATAAACAACAACATTCTTCAAACAGGACCCAGAACAGGTGACTAAATGAGTCTGCCTTACCTAAAATAGTCGAGTTTGCAGAAAACTTCTTTATCCTTCACATAACAGCTGACATGTCTCCCCAGAGATGTTTTACAGACACTGCATGAGAGGCAGCGCACGTGCCAGGACAGGTTGTTGACCTGAATACAGAAAGAATAGATATGAAAACAGCATTAAAGAATTAAATAAAAATACAAGGGAGTAACACAGAGATTTGAGAGACGTGTACAATCAGGATGGCTTATATACAGTATACATATTGCACAGGTCAATAAATATAATTGCACAGTAGTTGTTATAGTGAGTCATTGTTCATTAAAACCCAAATAATTAAGTATTAGAAGTTGTTTAAATGAATCGAAATCAGCATCAATTAGAAAGCTTATTTTTTCTAATTTCCTGATATTTCACCATGAAATGCCTGTTTGTGATGTTATACTTTAAATCCTAAATCCTTTTAATCAAATATAAAAATGTATTTGTCTACAGGATGTTACAAACCTGATGAATTGCACAATTAAAAAACCACACACCACTGCATTAATTAAGGGAGTTCCATCATCAGTAAGGAAAATATGAACTAAACTAACTAAGTTTTACCTTGAGAAGGTATCTGTCCACGATTTCCTGACCACAAGAAGTGCAGAGAGTTTTCCCGGAGAGGGAGGCCCCGGGGGGGGCGGTGGACAGGGAGGAGGAGGAGAGGGAGGACGGGGAGTAAGACGAGTCCTCCTCAAAGATGTCATCTGCCCCAGAAGAGCCCTGTTTCAAACAAATCAGCAGAAATATTGGGAAACATTGGGAATGTTTTAGACCATTCCCAATGTGAGTACTGCTAATTAGCCCTGAAAGCAACATTTCCATAAAGAGATAAAAAAAATAAGACAGTTCCTGATGCATTTAAACAGAAAAGTTACATGAAATAATCATATTAGAGGAAATATTTAAGCAAATGGCTCATTCGTGACATTTGTCTGGCAAGGTGGACAATTTAGTTTTTTCTTAGTCTTTCTCTTTTTGAGAAATGTACATAAATTGAAAGTAATTTCATCAGAGGAAGTAGAATTTTTAGTTTTTGTAAAAATGTATATTAAATTGTTTGTGTGAAGGAGGGACTTTATGCAAAAAGAGAAAAATCGACTTTATTCTAACTGTATTATGTCAACTAAACCCACCAAAAAACTGCAGATTTATGTTACAGAAAGAAATATAGAAACATGAGAATAATCGTGGATATATTTTTACCTAAATTCCTATTCACGAGACGACAACCTGGTAGTGCCACGCGCACACAGAGCTGGTGAGGAGCTTTAGGCCTGCCGTTAATCATTGGGCTGAATCTAAAAGGCCAAAACTGAACATAATCCGGTCGTTTAAATCGGTAATAGACCAAAACTCTTTAATTAATTAACTCTTCATGTGCAACAGTTGCCTTGACGGACTTTAAAATAAAACCCAACCGACACGTTTCCAGTCTCGTGCGGGACAGACCGCACGAGGAGTTTTTATCCTAGTTTCCTCCCGTCTCCCCGCCGGGAAAAGCCGCTGATTTGAGATTGAAAACACCTACTGAGTCGTAAAAAGCGTCTCCGAGCTGCAGCTGGCCGAAGCCCGCGTCCGGCGGCGGCCTCTCTTCCTCCGCCATGCTGCCCCGCGAGAACCGGCCCCGCGCGCCAATTAAGCCTTCATATTTCCATGACAACCGACGCTTTATGAGCAGGGCCCACTGTCAAATTAAACACCTCCTCAAACCTTTTCTAACGCCTCTAAATGATTATGAACGAAGTTAAGAAGGTGTGTGTTGTGTACTTTGCGTTGGGCACGCGCAGGGCCTCGCGCACAGCTGAGCCTCGTTAGGCTGATTGGGTTCAGCCACGTGCACGCGCGGCTGGCTGAGCAGGTGAGTGTTTCCTCTCACCTGCGTCCTCTAAACTGCTGCTATATGTTTTTATAAACTCATAGTGAGCTCTGTAGAGACCCCTGACATTTATTTATTCATTTCTTTATTTAACTTACACGGGCTGCATGTCAGCACGTGCGTTTTTAGTCAAGTTCAGAAAAAGCAGATGAGCTTTTTATCAGATTGTAAAGAAGAAACCTATACGATGATAAACTGATATGATAGAGGCAGGTGTAAAGGTATTAAATGACTCTAAATAGCGTGGGTTTGGCACAGCTTTGAATAACCACACAATGATCGGTTTAATTCATTTCCATAATTTTCCACTCTGCTTCTTACGTGCACGTTCATACCGGAGGAGAGATTTAAGATATTTTTTCTCAAAAGCAAAATACGACAGGAAAATAGGTCCCTGGAACTAAAACAATCATTTTATATATATATATAATACTTATGTTTATTTCAATAGACGGAGTCATATATGACTAAGTGAAATGATTAAGAGGTTATTTCTGTGGGAAAAGTCCTTTTCCAGACTCACCACACTGTTCGAGGCGCTGTTAAACATCTCAGACAGCATCCCGGTCCATCCAGATGTTCCCCAGCGGTGCACCGGGGACTAGTTTTCCCGATATCCCTCCGCCTCCCCGGCGTAGAAAGCCCTGTGGGTGCCCTGTGTTAGTACCAGTTAGTCCGCGTTAGGCCACCTAGGCAGCTCAACTCTTCCTCTGGTTCTTCGTTTTGTAATTTCCAGACTTTGTCCGCTCCCCGTTTGTTGTCAGGAGGATCCAGCTCGCGCCACCCACCGCCCCCCCCCTTCACCGGGGCCCGCCCCGCCGCATCACCTCCCATTCCGGGTGAGAGGAGTTTTATGCTGAATATGTAAGGGTTATGAACAGGTGGGATTTTAGAGATGTCTTATGGATTCACCATAAATCCAGATAAACAGCATCAAGGATCAAGATCTTGTTTTCTGACCTTTTTGTTAATTTAGTTTTCACCATGAATTATAAGGTAATTAACCATTACTGCCTCAATTAGGCACATCAGGCCCAAAAAGCACAAGATGCATCATATCTCATAAAGAGAACTTTTTTTTATTCTGAAAACATTTTATGATCATGTGATTCTTCAATAACTTTTTATGATAAATTGATCAGCTTTTTTTTTTTTAAACTGAGATCATTAAATATACCAAAACTCAGTCTGTTTGTTTGTCCAATCCAAAAGCTGGCACAGGGACATACAAATGTTCATACTTTTGGAGATAATTGATATTCTGTCAGTGATTTCCTCTCTTATTTCAACATGCTGAATGGTTTGAGTTCATTAAGGTGTAATAAAAGATTAACCCTTTTTTAGACCATTCCCAATGTTAGTACTGCTAAGTAGCCCTGAAAGCAACATTTCCATAAAGAGATTTAAAAAATAAGACAGTTCCTGATGGTTTTAAACAGAAAAGTCTTAAAGTCTTTAAGAGCTAAATGTGAGACATTTTTTAAATCCGTTTAGCATCAGTTCACCAGACTGACCGTATCAATATGCTTAATCTTTCCCTTCTTTTCTCGTGGGATCTTCTGAAAACAGCACAAGTCTTATTGTGGGGCCTGAGTTATATTTATTTAGACATCCAAACTGTCTGACTGAATCAAGAGTTGGTTATTTAATCCTTACGGTTTCATGAATTAGATTACCTACGACTTTATGAAAGTATTTGTGCTTTTACGATCAATAAAGAGTCTCACAACATTGTTGTAGCAGCTTTGATTCAAGGTATTTAAAACAAGCATTTGTATTCCCAAAGATTTTCCTTCTGTAAAGGCCTCTATCAAAATGAACCCACGCATTTAAAGTCCCACTCTGATGATAACGTTCTCCAACTTTAAGTAAAGATGATGGCAAACCAAAGATTAGGGTCAAAAGGACATGAATAAAAACATTCTCTGTGGGTGCTTTGAGAATTTAGAGGCTAGAAACCAGGGCAGGAATCCCTTTGGGTCTCATGTGAAACCCTAGACCCGTCAGGGCTCCTCAGGAGGGTTTAGAGGGACTTTCACCAGCACGGATGTGTGGTACAGAATGTGTTTAACCTCTAGCAGAAAAATGTAAAACATGCTTTTGAAACCAAAGTAAAAACATTAATACTCCAGAAGTGGTCAGATGTACAAATTTGCCCTCTAAAACAAATCCAGGTGTTAATAAATCCACTGAAAGACCAACTTTAGTGAGTTGATTTTAGACGTATTGCATAGTGTATTGTAATATTTCTTAATACACACACAATTTAATTTCTTTTTATATCTTGTATGAGAATTGTGTAAAATATGACAAAAAAATAACACTTATCCCACTAAATATTTTTGTTTCCTTTTTCTAGACCATTTTGATAATAAATCTTATTCTAACTAAACTGAGAACATAATTGTTCTCAGTTTAGTTAAAATAATAATTAAAATAATAGTTAAATAAAACAGTTAAAATAATAGTGTTATCTCAAAGAAAGAAAGAAAGAAAGAAAGAAAGAAAGAAAGAAAGAAAGAAAGAAAGAAAGAGAAATTTGTTAATTTCTTATCGGGGAGTTGTTTTTTGCTCTCCTTGCTTTTTGTGACCTAATAAAAGCCCAAAACTTTTTTTTTATTAGTTTGTTCAATCAAACAGTGTAGAACCACTCATACTGTTCATTTTAAACAATATTGACTGGAATGAAAGAATGCAGACTGTTGTAAACTTTTTAATGAAAACATGATGTATTCAGATGATGTTTTAGTAAAATACAATCTGAATTTATATCTAATTAAGTTGATCCAGCTCATCCTGAACCTGTTTTATTTTATTTATTACCTCTATTGTGATGCTAATTGGACTACTCAGATTAGTAGTATATATCAGTCTCAGGAGGACTGGGCTTCATATTTTAACCTGATATAGGGCTTATGTTTATGCTGGCCTCCATAAATAGATCAATATTTTGGATTCTTTAACCTGTCTCACAGTAATGCTGCCAAGGTATGAAGACCCATTCCACCCTGTGATGACGTCAGGGTTCGTGAGCTCGGGCTTTGTTTGTTTCTGGGTTTGGTTTCCCTCCCAGAGAAAAACATCCCAGCATCCACAAACACTCGCTTGTTTTTGGTTAAAGGCAGAAGTCGCTCCTCGTTTTATCGGGACATGCTGGGGCTTATCTGGCTGTTTGGGAGTGTGACGGTATGGGTGTGTCTGTGTGTGTGTGTGTGTGTGTCGGCCCCTGTGTGTGTGTGCGTGTGTGTGTGTGTGTGTGTGTGTGTACACATCTGAGATCGCTTAGCTTGATGTGAGGGTCAGTCTCTGGTGAGAGATTGGACCTGACTGCCTGTGAGTTTTCCAGAATGTGACTGTATTTGGGAGTCAGAAAGTGAGACCACCCTTCTGGTTACCGGACCCCTGACGGGAGCAGGGTAGTGACAGGTATGGAGGGAAGAGCACCACGGGAAAACGGTGGTCCCTTCACTCTGCTCAGAGAAAAACTAAGCAGACACTCACAATTACCAAAGGTTGTGTGTTTTATGGCTGATATTGGATGAAAATTATTATATAATTCTGAGTATAAGTGCACAAATAGATACTATGTGTGTTTTATAACTGATATTGGATGAAAACTAGGATATAATTCTGAGTATAAGTGCACAAATAGATACGATGTGTGTTTTATAACTGGTATTGGATGAAAACTAGGATGTAATTCTGAGTATAAGTTCACAAATAGATACGATGTGTGTTTGATATTGGATGACTGGAAATGCACAATACCTCTTTCTTATGTTCAATGTATGTCTGCTGTTGCCCAGTCCTGCTCTTTATATGTCTGAATGGTATTGTTTAGGTACTCTAGCTGTAATGTGTGAGTACCATCTTTGTCTAACTGTCTATGTCCACACCAAAAGTCTATGTCTATGTCTGCATGGGAAAGTAAGAAACGCAATTTCAATTCTTTGTATGACCAGCGCATGTAAAGAAATTGACGATAAAGCTTACTTGACTTGAAAATGATGATATAATCCTGAGTATAAGTTCACATATAGATACGATGTGTGTTTTATAACTGATATTTGATGAAAATTAGGATATAATTCTGAGTATAAGTGCACAAATAGATACGATCCTGGTTGTTTAAGAGCCCACAAAGCTCTCTGAGTCTCTCCAGAAGAGCATGAAATGAGGGAAATATCAGCTCTGTCCACTCCACCTGCAGCACACCCACACAGTTTGCATCTGACATCACAACATGCACACAATTAGGAACTTCACACCCACAAGACCAAAGAGATGAGAGACTTTATGAAATCTGTGAGACAGGCTTCAACTCTGAATGTTTAAATCCAGGCTTCTGTTTAACTGTGCATGTGGAAATTACATGTATTTTATCTGCTCTCTTCACTTGTCTGTCTAATTTTTTTTATTATTTTTCTGCTTTTAAATTCTCTGTAAAGCACTTTGAATTGTCTTCAAAATGTGCTATTCAAATAAACTTGCCTTGTTTTCCCTATCTGACATGGAAGAGAACAACCACACACTCATTTATTCATAGCATAAATTTAGAGTCTTACCTAAATATCCTGGAAGAGACAAACAATCCTTTTTTTTTTAATGAAGTTGTTTTTTGCTTGGGACTTTTTAGCAGCATATTTTCATATGAAATTAAAGCAGACAAGTTCTGTAAACTAGCAAGTGAGGTAAA